GAATAATAGTAAAGAACAAGTTATATGAACAAACGGACACACAATCACGCATTAGAAGTTAGGAAATGTGTATAGCGAACAACTCAGTTGAAAATTTCAAACGTAATATTGTATTGTGAATGTATTTGTAAGTAAGTACGAAAATATCATTTCTTCATATTGTTCGTTTTTCCGATTATCCCCATTTGGATTGAGACTTTTGTACTGTCCTGTCTTGCTTTTACTTTTTTTGAGTATCGGCTGGCTATCGGTTGCTGATTGTACTCATTCCATTTTGATTGTACATTTAGATGGTTCGCATGTGTCGCACACATCTTCTGAACAAATGTACAGTGCTGACTAAAATGGCTTTTATATTGATTTATTACATTTCAATATCTCGTTTTCAATCAATTCGTACATTTTTGTTGAACATTTTTCAATCAAAAAAGTTTTTCTTTCCTTCTACTTTTCTCCATTTGAAAAAATATTGGTAGTAGTATTAGAACGCGTAGTTTCCCTATTGAACTTTTATTTCATTTTTTATGTCACTCTCTCCATTTTTAAGATGAAACATGACGCCTATGGATATTTATTTGAATCATTCTTGTAGATTTGTCATAGATATTAAGAAGTAAGTATAAAGTGTGCAAACATAAGGAAAATCACTTCAATTTTGATTAGTTCACATCCTCCAGAATTTGAAATATTCCTTTAACCCTTAAACGGGCAGGTCAAGTCCCGTAATGCATTTAAAAAATATCGTTTTTTCTAATTGATTTTGAATTTAAATTGTATGGAGGACCTCATAGCCTACTTGCCCGATAGTGTGTTAAGGGCTAAAGACATTTTTACAACTGTCTAGGATGTGGAAAATTGAAGAAGAAGTTGATAAAGGGTTTAAAAAAACATTACTGCAAGATGACAGGTGAAAAGGGAAAGAATAAAAAACTAAAATTTTCGTTTGTGTGTGTGTACTTTCCTTTTTTTGCCATATTACCTTATTAGTCAAATCGAACGTACAATTCATACTCATGAGCATTATTATTGCGAACTTTTTTCTCTCTTTTTTAAATTATCCTTTTCCAAAAAGATACGGGGAGGTGAATACGTACATAATAGCGTTCACTGTTTTACTTGCTCCATTGGGACGTAATCTTTCACAAGAAAAATGGACATACAAAATAAAACATACGTCAAGCATCCATTTATCGTTATATTATATGGGCATGTGTGCTTGATAATATATAATTGTAGCAATGTATAGAGTGGAAAATTTTAAGTAGGAAAAATAACCATTTTAACTGGATCTAAATTCTTTGTTGGATGGACCCATTCCCGATATCTTCCATTCCTCATTCTTTGCTACTTTTATTTCTTTTCTTCTCTTTGTTATATCTGTTTTGTTTATACACTCTTTAACAATGGAAAATTGTGCGTGCATCGTACTTTTTCTTTTTCACAATGTCATGTGTGAATAGAATTATTATCGTGTAATTTCATATATTTTCTCATGTTTATATTTGAGAAAAAAATATGCGAGCTCAGAATGATTTCGTGGCTCGCAAACTTATTTAAATTATAAGAACGAGCGCCAAATCTTTGATTGTATTGCTTTTTAAATTTGTCCATTTATCTGTTATAGAATTTGTATTGATGCTAGAAATTGGGACATTGAATGAGAAAAAAAAAAATTATTTATTTCTAAGAGTGCGTGTGCATATTTAAAAAAATTAAAAAAAAAACATCTTCTTTTCGATGGAACTTTGACAAACGTGAAAATGGTTGGCAAATGTGGGCATCGTGAGAAAAGTTTAAGATTCTGTTTCTTTCTAAAGTACAATAATACATCAACCGAGTGTTTTTTATTTCTTTACATAATGTAAAAGATTTCGATGTACACATTGTCCAACCATATATACTAAATGAACCGAACTTTGTCCATGCATGTGTACCGAAATGTTTGCTCAGATTGTTTCGAGATATATTTTTTGTCTTTTCCCATTTTGCCTTCTCCGTATATTCGTCCTCCGTTTGTTGAGAACGGTCTCAACTGTTTCAATTGCACACACAACGTCAAATGGTCTTACGAACATAGATATAATTTTATGTGGCTAGTTGTCTATGTGAGAACACCTTCAAACACATACTTTCAAAACGAGCATGATGGTCAAAAATTGAGCAAATTTACATATATATGCTTACATATGTTGGTTATTTCTTTGCTTCTTTGGCTTATCTGTTGAAAATGGAAAAACTTATCTGCGGATAATGATTCGATGCAGCCCAATTTGAAATTTTCCAAAGTTGAGATTTTCCTATTCTCTCTCAATCGTTTCTTCGTTGTGGTTTTCAAAGAAAAATCAGTTTTTTTAACAACAATTTTTTTAAGTAAATCTATTTTCTCCACTTAATGTGAGGAAAGTTTTTAATTTATCTAGTATTTTGTTTTCTCTTTATGAAAATATAAACATGTGATTGTTCGATTCTGAATAAAATTTGCAAACCATTCAAGTTACTGCTTGCCGCGTACAACCTGATGTGCTCGTTAGATTGTTTCACATTCCGTACACAACATTCAGCTTGGTAATATGTGCAGAACATTTCTAACCGGTAAAGTACACACTTCAGATGCATAGTTTGGGATCAGACGTGCGTGTTCTCATTTACGCATTCATTCAGCATGTGCGCCAAAAGATTTTATTTTCATTTTATGTTCGCATTTCAGTGATTTGCTTGACGATGTATAGGGTCCGACGAGAGAGCACACGAACAATGGATAAAGTGTTTGAGTGTGTTTCGTTTTTGTTATTACAGCGATTAGTCTTTGTGTGTTCGCATAGCATATATTCCGACTGTACTTATCTTTCCACCAAAGACAAAATTGTATATACAATGTATGTTATGTTTATTTAGAACTATTTTGACTTTATATTTCTATGAGCCGAAACGGGAATGTATGGCATTTTAAGCATGAAGTTCACCATAAGTAAAAAGTGCGAAGGATAATAATTGTCAATAGAGGATCGAACATTTTCATCAATATTTGTAAAATTGACCATATTTTTTGTCTTAAATTTCAATGTTGATTTCAATTTTATTGTATTGAAAGTGACTTTGATTCTAATTGGAAAATAAAGATTTTTGCTGTAATTCTCAGATTATCCTACTATTTCGTGCATAGTACTTTGATTTGACCAATTTTTTGTCAAGTTTTCCTTCCAATTTTCGTACTTTTGCTATTGTTGTTTCTGTAATATTTCGAAGGGATGAAAAGGTTCTGCAAGAAAATTTGCTGGTTTTCCTACATGAGAGAACTGAAATAAACATTCAACTACTTTGGGTTTTATGTGTGCCTAATATACATTTACAGCACATCGATTCTGCCTGCGCATACCAACAAAGAAAATAAATTTGAAACTGGCTTGAGTGTGTATGTTTTTGCTCGTCTGTCTTTGTACATTTTACAGAATGAATTGTGGCAAACTATAGTAAGATAGATTACACATCTGAATGTTTACGAGCCGATATTATATTGGATATAAGTTAAAGTTGCTTGCTTTTGTCTTGTATCCGTTCGCTTTCGTTGATATATATATACTCACTCGTATGCTTACTCGCACAAATTTTCGATTCGTAACGTATCGTGGGAGATTGGGAAAAAAACTCACATATGCGAGCTATGAAGGCATATATTTGGAAAAATAGGAGATGCTGCGTCCACTGGCATTGTTATATATATTTTATGCGGCATGTGTTCAAAGAATAGGCTTATACTATTTCACATATATCCATATTTATATGGAATAAATGTGTGTATAATAATGCACGTTTTGATTCCGATGGTCCATTTGTTGTACACACATGAATCTACAAATGGGAGATGGCAAACAGGACGTAGATATATTCAACTTATTCAGCAATACAACATTTGGCTCTATCATTTAAGTTAAAAGTTCACACATAGCCAAAATTTGAAATAGACAAATACATATACTCAAAGGGTCACACAGGCTGTACCGAGCAGCAGCAGCGTACAATCCATTTTGCTCATTTACTCCCCTTCTCTCAATTTCATTTATCTTTTCGCTCAGTCTTTTCACTTGATTCTGCGCGTGAATTTTTTGGAACTATAATTCCAATTACAACGTAGGCTGTCTTTTAATTATTGACCCTAATGAAGAAAAACAATAAGTTATTATTGTAAATGGTTTTATTGTTTTTCAAAATATTCTCGGTGATGATCAATACACTTTTGTATTCGACGAAACCATTTGTCATAGCATTCATGCCACTCCGAAAGAGATATCTCAAAAACGCACCAACTGCTTCTCCTGGTGTCAAAAATCGTTGACCACGTAGTTTTTTCTTCACGCTCGGGAACAAAAAGAAGCCATTGGTTGCCAAGTCTGTTCGAAGTTTTGACTGGTCAAAAAATGAGTTAATTGTGCTGATGTGTGAGCTCGTATTATCATGATGAAGAATTATTCTGCGACGGCGGTTGTTTTTTCTTAATTCACCAAACACTTCTGGCAAACAAATGGAAGTGTACCATTCAGAATTGACCGTTCAACGATCCTCTAGTGAAACGGTTGACCACTTATCGCGAAAAAATAGGCGAGCATTTGCTTCGCAACACTTCTAGCTCGAACAACTTTTGTTGGATTATCTTCACTTTGAAACATCCATACAGTTGACTGCTGTTTTTTTCGGAAACTTTACGAATATGACAATGGTTTGCATCGGACAACACTAATATCGTCAAGGTTCAATAAATAAAAGACAGCCATCGTATTACTATTCAGTGTAGCGATATTATCATTCATTCAAAGAAAAATAGTATATTGAATTTCTCACGTTTTTTTCTTTCATTATAGTTATGAACTATAGAAAATCTATTTATTGCACATTTAAATTGAAATTACTAAATTTTGATTTTAAAACCAAATTGTAATACTTGACCAAAAAAAACTTTGACTTTAATTAAATTATAACGATTGACAAAAAAATTGACAACTTACCGAAACCATCGCCCATTCCGGATGGACCTGGCAATAGTCCTGGGATTCCTTGAAGACCTAAGAAATTTGAGAAACGTTGATCCATTGAACTGTTCATGGTGTCATCATAATCGCCTGCGTCTGATGCTGCCGAATGGTCGCTGCTGTTTGAATCTTCACCGGTACTTTGGGCCTGAAGTGATGTTAAATCAGGATGCTTTTTCTGTAATAAAACAAAAAAAATACAGATAGATTTAAATAGTTATGTGGTTTCTTTCCTTTAGAACTGAAAACGAAATGAACAAAGTAAGAGAATGTGACTGTACAGTTGATGCAGAAGATTCAAGTGCTTGTCCAAGGAGAGAGTCTCGTAGTTCAGTTTTGCTGAGATCTTGTGACGATGAGTCGCGTGATCGATTTAGATTTTCCTTTGAACGATTTCTTTCGCGACCTCTATAGGCTGCAGCGGCTGCCAAGAGTGGTTGCACATCTTTCAATGCTGCAGCATCAACATCCGGATTTATACCATGTTGAGCACGATATAAATCAGCACTTTTAATGCGTTTTTGTGGTGGCGGAGGAGTCAAATGACTCTTTCGACGATCTTCTGATAATTCCCAAGGTAACGATGTTGAAGTCTACGGTGTAACGTTTATTTATAAAGATCAGTCAGAAAAAAAAACATTAGAACGGAAAACAGTTAACCATTCGAAAACAAAATTATAAAAAACATATATAATGAATGTATTGACATTACATTTCTTACCGGCGAAGCCTTGGACTCCTGCAATTTTACGGTGTTAACAACGCTCAACGGATTTGGTAATGAGGAACCCATTATACCAGATCGTATTGAATTCATATCGACTGCTGTTGATGATGAATTTGATTCAGGTATTAGACTTGTCGATAATGGCAATCCTTTCGTTTGTGGTCCAGTAACATCGGCCAAACCACGAACTTGTAACAATTGAGCTGTTTTCAAAAAATCACTCAATTGTTCATGGCCAATGTGCACTTCACCATTGTACATGAAACGCAACAGACTTTCAACATCTTCGGCACGAATGTCGCGTAATATAACAATTGGATGCTCGCATGGATTAGCTTTTAGCAGTTTTCTGATGTAAAGAATATTCATTATATTTATGTTGGACGATCCACAAAAATTTCATCATACATAGAAGTAAGAACAATTACCTGAAATAAGGACTGCATGCGCTTAAAACAACTTTATGTGCAGTGAACGATCGAATATCACAGGCCAATGTTACATCGACAAAATCCTCCTCATCGCGTAAATGTCGGAACGAAGATAAAATTGAACTCTGAAAATCGTTCCATTTCAGAGCGTATTGTTGTTCGGACGGTGACGGTGAGCCTGCTCGATCCATTTTTATTGTTGTTGTGTTATTATTTTCAGTCGTTTGCAACAATGTTGACTCAGTCATTTCCTTAGTTCCAAACGATATTTTACTATTTCGATGTAAAAGAGTATGGACGATTCTTCTAATTTGTAATTTATTGGTGTTTGAAATGCGATACAGTGCAAAAAAATTTCCGCAACGATAATTTTCAAAAAAATGAAATGATTTAACTATTTTTAGTTCATTTTTTTTTCATTTCGTCTCACGACTTTTTTTCCCTCAGAATAACATAAAATCGTTTCAATTCTTTTTCTGAGATACAAATTATTGATATTAAATGTTTGAAACGTTTCTACGTAAGCACGGACGGAGGTACAACTGAAATGAAAAGATTAATAAATGTTATAAAATGACTTTTCTTGTTATTGTTGAACAATTTTTAAAAGTTACTGAACATTTTTTTGAACGATATTTTTTCTTTAATTGAACTATTGGATTGAACTAATGGAAAAATATCATTAAAAAAAATAAAGACACGCTTTAAGATAAAAAAAAGCGGTCACGAATACAAATATCAATTTCACATTTGTCTCTATGTCGCAATTGAATTTCTATTGTTGAGACTGTTTTTCGGACAATTTAAAAAGTCTTGGCATTATTTTAATGAACATTTTACAAAAACTATAGGAGAAAAAACGCCGGTAAGTAGGCAAAATTAACATTATTCCGATGAAAAATACAAACAGCATACAAATAACACTCAAACTTGAATCTTTTGATTGCTCAACATGTCAAATATGCAATGTTTTGATGTTTATCATTTTTGTTTCCAATGTAAAACTGTTCAAAAAACATGTGGGCGCAACGTTTCCAGCTTATATTTATTTGTTTTTTGTGTGTCTGCTGTGGAGCTAAATCACTTTAACTGTTCAATGGATGCAAGATGACTGCGAGTGTGTACTGTTGTTTCATTGCAATACCCAGAAATTATATCATGCGCCTCTGTCTCGAATACTTGTTATGTATTTGTGTAGGACTGGACAGCATAGTCTATAAGTATATGTATGTTGTTATGCGGCAAGTTTACTTGAGAGTTGAGTTCAGAGTTGTTTTGATTGCTATTATTATTGTTGTTGTTTTATGTACATTTTGTACAATCTGTGCAAGAAACAAAGGAAAGATTTTTGCGCAGAGTCGCTTACTTCCCCTGAAATTGGAGTGCGTTAGCGATGACGATAATGACAACGACTACGGCTTTCGTACATAATAAACCAAAAATGAATTGGAGATGTGTATACCAATGTGACCATGTCTACGATGACGACAACGTAAACGACGACGATAATCGACAATAGACTTATTTATACATAGATCTGGAGTACCATGGAAAGCAGTCATATCGAATTAAATTCTGGTATAAGTTCGTTATTAGATTAGAATTGGCATTTATGTGTATATTTATTTTTATGTGAACGATAATGTACTTGGTTGTTATTTCTTCTAAATTGCAATGAATAAAATAATCCCAAAATTGTGATGTCATTGATAACACCTATTTGAAGCGAAAAATATTAATTACACAGTTATTAAATCAAAATCTCAAACAAGGCTGTAATGGTGAACATGCTCATTTGCGATTTCTTTTCTCTACTATGGCTTACTCCCATTTTATTTGTATGCATGTTTGTTTCTGTGTTTTATCCAAATTTGAAAACTCTTCTCGCTGACGAAACAGAGATAGTTGATGAGTTTGAAATTGTAGCTTCTAGTTGTATTGTTAATAATTGGAAAAGTTTATAAATCTGAATAGCTGCGCGACACATTTTATAAGCGTTTTCCATGCACACACGCACCCCCTCCGTTCGTCTTTTTAGCGCTAAGGACAAAAACCAAATTGTCCACGTATTGAACGAATAAATTGTATTTGAAATGGCTGATGACGTCCAAATCAACAATGTTTATTCCTTTCGAATGTAAACTACTGACACATCAACGTTTGTATAAAATTAATACTTTCAAAGATGCTTATTGAGCATTTGTTGTATGCAAAATTATTTTCGATTTTAGGTAACACAAATTTTGAAAATCTTCACAAATGGAAATAAAATAATAAAGCATAACTCATTGAATAATATCAAAATATTTCAATTTATGGCATATCAGACATTTTAGAATTTCTTTTTTTGAGTTTTTATTACCCAACTCAATTAAGAATGCATCACACTGATGCACGTACATGGTTCTGAATATCATTAGATACTTGCAAGAAATATCAGCAAATAGTGTCTATCTTCGCAAAAATGTATTAAAAAAAGAGAAAATGCGATTGGAATAATAATATTACTACTATTAT